ACTTTGTTGTTTATTTGTCCATTATCTATGTTTAGCTACATGGAGAATTTGAGTAGAAGAGAAATATGAGCAGCCAAATTCTCTGAAATTAAACCAATTTCACAATAAGAGAAGAGACAGTATATGTAACCATTTATTTGAGAAACCTGTGAAAGAAAAGAGAGAAACAGGGACAAAGAGTGGCAGGCTCAAGCAGAGATTTCTTAAGATATAAAGGCAAATCTGAAAGCACAAACACCAGGATCAGTGTAAAGAGAAATTTTAAACATGCTGAAGATTGAAAGGATGCGTGGGAAACAAGACTGCCTAAATATCTGGAAGAACTGGGCTCACAGAGATTTTTGCTTTCCCATTTAAAGTAGGTATCTACTGAGAGTTTACTATATGCAGGGCGCAGTGGGAAAACAGTTCATGCTCACAGTGACATCTGATTCAGTAAATCTTCACAACAACCCTATGAGGTGGGAATTACCATCTAGGCCTTTTTGTACACAATCAGAGACATCCCACTGACAGTTCTGCCCACTGTGAATATACCACACCAGTTTCTCCTCCCCAAGTCTCATCCTTCCTTTCTCTTTACCTTACTTATAACTGATTTTACAAGGTCTCTAACTCCCGGGTCTTGTGCAGTCAAAAGATCTTAGAAGCAACTCTGTGTGGAAGGGGCTGAACCACTTCCTTAAGCACTCAGGTGATTATTAAGCTGCCTACATAGGTAATGAACCGCTTATGCTCAGAGAATCCAGATGCCACCCTGACTCACAGAAACCACCTCTGTTGACTGACTCCCCAGTGTCTTCATGTTAATTCACCCTCTGTTGAGCTCTTGGAGCTATTCCACATAACTTTTCATCACAGCAGCTTCTCCGTATCTTTTCTTCCCATTCTTCTTAGTTGCCCAATTTCACCCTCATCTCCTCTACTTTCAGCAAAAAGCCTTCATTCACCAAAAACAAGGGGGTACTAAACAGAAAATGTTTCAACCTCTCTTTCCTCCACTTCAAACTTTCACCTTATTCTCAGGAATGTTCTTTTCCTTTACGGTATCACTATTCCTGGAAATGGCGATAAAGGTATGGCTTCCTTTTCAACATCTGTAATTCCTTTTTGCCTTACCTTACTTACTATATATAGACTTGCACCTCCCAAACAATGGTGATAACACCCTCATCTTGCTCCTGACTTAACCTGCATTCAGTGTTGCCTCATTTGGACACATTCAGTGTTTTCCCATTAAGAATGGGCCTGGCAAGAGGCTGAGGAGAACTGATCACCTGAGGTCAGGAGGTCAAGACCAGCCTGGCCAACATGGTGAAACCCCACCTCTACTAAAAATACAAAAATCAGTTGGGTGTGGTGACATGTGCCTGTAATCCCAGCTACTCAGGAGGCTGAGGCTGGAGAACTGCTTGAACCTGGGAGGTGGAGGTTGCAGTGAGCCGAGTTCACGCCACTGTGCTCCAGCCTGGGCGATAGCGCAAGACTCTGCCTCAAAAAAAAAAAAAAGAAAAGAAAAAAAAAAGAAAAAAGAATGGGCCTGGCTATTGGCTTCTTAAAACGATGCTTATTTTAAATGTCCCAAGGATAGAACCTCTCTGTGATAAGCTTTCTCCATACACTGTTCTGCTAACACTGACAGAAAAAACATTAAATGTATCTACACTGCTCTTTAAAAAAATTTTTTTACCATATGTTATCTTTGGAGGCATTTTAATCACAAGTCAGCTATTTGTTGAAATGTTTATTCTGTATCTTCTTTATCAACTAATTTTCTTTCTGAAATGACTATAAATGCAGGTTATGTTTGCTCATTTTGCAAAACTATTATATAGGTGAATGGCCTATAAAAGTGAAAAAAAATTTTAAATTGAACCATATAGTTTAACTAGTGGCCGGCAGGGCTAAATAATCTTATAAAAATCTTATTAGAAAAAAAATTAGACAATCAGCTTTATGGTATAAACCAGGCAACAGAAAACTGATTTCAAAAATAATCCTCAGATATTTAATAATGTATATTTTTACAACATGACTTTCAGCTGTTGTTTCACCTTCCAGCTAGGCTGAATCTGATTTTAACCACCCTTCTAGCATTGTACATATGCAGGGAGCAAATGTAATCTACTGAAGCGAAGCAGTATGTGTAAAAGGGCTCAATTAAATGGTGGAATGTTTCTTGTAAATTAAAGCCCTATTGAATAATCATCTTCCATGCAAATTATCTTTCTTAGGGTGTTCCAACAATGTGCCATCATCATATGTAGCTGCTTTAATACATGCTTATTTGTAATGCTTGACATAATGAATTCTCCCTCTCTATTCCCTTAGAAATGAGAATGAGAATTTGAGCTTTTTAATTTTTCCTTGCTAGACTGCCTTTGTGAATACACCAGTAAGACACTATTTTTTCATAACCTACAGTGCAGAAGAATAATTTAACTAGATGCATACTAGTAGTATATTTATCTGAAAAAGCAAGTTAAATCAATTTCTGATGGAAAAATGGCATGTTAATCTCTCTTTCCTCAAAAAAGTAAATTTTCTCTGGAAGATCAGAAGCTCACTTTCCTAATCCTTCTCAAGCCTTTAAGGTTTGTATTCTTAAAAGAAAGTCATATGCTAAAATGTTAATACACAAAATAGAGATTGTTTGCATAATGTATCAAGAGAGTCCACATATTTCCTAAAATGTATATAAAATTATATGTCACATGTATAGATATATCTTTTGAAAGAAAGGAGTTCAAAGATTTTATCCAATTCTCAAAGAAGTCAAAAACCCACAGAAATATTTAGAATTACCAAGTAAAGCTAAAAGATACTGAATCTTGCTTATAATCACAGCACTTCAACAGGCTGAGGCAGAAGGACTGCTTGAGCCCAGGAGGTCAAGACCAACCTAGGGAATATAGTGAGACCTAATCTCTTAAAAACAAACAAACAAAAAAATTGGATACAGCATCTTAGGGTTATACTTTCATCTTAAAGGTACAGATGTTTGATTGATATCACACAAAACAAAAATTTCCATTCAAAAGAACCAAACTGGCCAAGCACAATGGCTCATGCCTGTAGTTCCCAGCACTTTGGGAGTCCAAGTCAGAAGGATCACTTGAGGCCAGGAATTTAAAACCAGCCTGGGAACACTGTGAGACCCGATCTCTACCAAAAAAATTAAAAAGTTAACCAGGCATAGTGGCACATACCTATAATGCTAGTTACTCAGGAGACTAGGGCAAAAGAATAACTTGAGCACAGGAGTTCAAGGTTACGGTAAGCAGTGACCACACCACTGCAATCCACCCCAGAAAGAGAGTGAGACCTTGTCTCTTGGAAAAAAAGAAAGAAAAATCTAAAATATTCCATCAATTCCACACATCTTTTCTAAATATTCTTTTTTTTGAAGATGGAGTTTCACTCTGTCACCAGGCTGGAGAGCAGTGGTGCAATCTCGGCTCACTGCAACCTCTGCCTCCCAGGTTCGAGCAATTCTCCTGCCTCAGCCTCCTGAGTAGCTGGAACTACAGACACCCACCACTATGCCCAACTAATTTTTGCATTTTGAGTAGAGACGGGGTTTCACCATGTTGTCCCGGATGGTCTAGATCTCTTGACCTCATGATCCACCCGCCTTGGCCTCCCAAAGTGCTGGGATTATAGGTGTGAGCCATGGTGCTCGGCCTCTTCTCTAAACATTGTTATGTACATATGATATATCAACCTCCCTGAAAAGAGTGATTGCCAAAGGATACAGGGACTATTTGAGAGTCATATGCCACTCCTTGGACCAGAGCCTAGCGCATCAGCAGAGAGCTGGGAAAGAAAAAAAAATTCAGTGTCACAATTTCATGCTTCATCAGGGTCTCTGTAAATGTATAGCCTCCTTTCTTCTACCCACAAATACTTCTAAAAGGCCTTAGATTAACTATAAACTAAATCATAAATATTGAATTGCACTTAAAAAATTTTTCTCAGAGGTCTAATGTAATGGCTAGGAATATTCCAAGTGACCTTCAAGTTCAATTATATACCACAATTGCTACAATAGCAATGTCCACTGGGTATGTAAGCACCTGAGTCCTGTTATGAACTCACGACCAAAACCACCACACTTCTAGTTAAGCACAATCTTAGGTCCCATTCAGAATTAATGTGCCCACAGAAACCCAAAATTACAACCCACGATCCTGCAAAAAAAGGCAGAAAGTTCCTAATAAAGCTAGTGTGGCAGAAACACTGCAGACTCTATCTGCATTTATCTGGCTGTGTTCACCAAAAAAAAAAAAAAAAAGCAAATACCCAAATAGTCACAAACATGTATAAACACGTAACACATCAGAAACACACTACACATTTAAAATTATCCTTAATTACCATGAAGAAAAACAATCTAACATTTGTTTTCACAAGTTGTCACAGTACTCTATAGGTTAAACTTCATTTTTCTCCATACTTCAGATTTTACCAAAAGCTTTGCCCTATAGTGCAAAAATTACTTTAGAGAAACACAAAAATTTGTTCATTCTTAATTATATTCATTATATGAGTTCATCGGTCTTCTACCTCTTTGATATTAAGGGACACTCAAATGCTAGAATTTGGTGACACATTTCAAAGCAAAGGGGTACATACTCACTCATCATTCTATCTGATCCCCTTCACTGCTGTTTGTCAGTTTAAATTGAATTTTTTATTGCCCTGACCTATATACTCATAAAGCAAAGTTCTTGCCTGCTCCAGTAAACAAGCAATCTTTCCTACAGCTGCCTGGATCCCATGCTTTGCCTTTCATCATGCATCCTGTCTCGCCTTTCATCACCTAACCACTCACACTGTTTACTAAATCACAGTCTTTCTCTGAATGAAATAAAAGTAAACATCCTTTTCAACAAAAGTTGATAACCATCTGTGAAGTGCTACAACAACATACAATTTGAAAACACTATGCTAATTAAAAGTATTAGTTTTTAAATGTTCTTTTTCTTTCTTTTTTTAATGTTTGATGTAGAATTGTTTTATTTGTGTTCCTCATGCCACAACACAACCTTCAAAGTCAGCCAAGTATGTAACATTAATGTGTCCTCAAAACATCAACTTAGATAACCCATAGCCAGAGGTTCTCAACTTCTACAATGCAACTTCAACATTCAAAAGAGCACAATATGCTTCAAATCCCATCTCAATGCAAATTTAAGAAAAGCAAAGCAAACTGTATTATCAGACTTTCAAAACTCAGTGAGATTCCGTAATTTAATATACCTACTTCTCAACTCTCTAAATTTCTCAACACTGAGGAGAGTTGTTAAAGATACCAATGCCTGAATTCTACTCCAAGCCAATTAAATCACAACAATTAAACTAGAATCTCTGTGGGGCATCTTGACTCAGTTATTGCTTTCTAACACCTTTTACTTCCTGGCTTTTTGGAATGTCCAAAAATTAGTAATATTACAACGTGTGTTATGATCATAATGTAACAGTTAAAAAAAAACACACATAAAATGAAGGGCTAGAAAGATCTTTGTTACTCATCTAGAATTATTTGGTATAACAGTATTTTCCAATGGAGGAAGATGGATTTCAGGCATAAAACAATGCAGAAAAAATGTCAAGCCATCACAAGGAAAGAAAGATAACTTCTGACTCTGGTTTCCTGTGTTTCAGGCCAGGAAGAGCAAGAGAAATAAAAGATTTGTCCATAGGAACAATTTCTAAAATCTCTAAAGAACAATTTGATTTGAACCCATTAATATCCTTTTCATGCAAAATTTCAAAGATAAAGCAATAAAAAATATGGAGCCAAAGAAAAGGGAGAAGTTCTTCAAGGAGAATCTGTCTCTTTAAGTTTTCACTGGTACAACAGTCCCATCGGCTGGAGCTATTCAAAGAGGAATCACGAAAATAAAACTTTATTTCAGATAGGTTCAGTGGTGTGTGTGTGTGCGCGTGCGTGCGCGCTAAAGCAAAGGCTGGTTGTAGCAAAAATTCATTTCAAACTGTATGATATGGGTAGGGCAAGGTGGCTTACGCCTGTAATCCCAGCACTTTGGGAGGCCAAGGTGGGGTGATCATTCTGAGGTCAGGAGAGACCAGCCTGGCCAACATGTCAAAACCCTGTCTCTCCTAAAAATACAAGAATTAGCCAAGTGTGGTGGCACACACCTGTAATCTCAGCTACTTCAAAGGCTGCTTGAACCCGGAAGGCAGAGGTTGCAGATCAGGCCACTGCCCTCCACCCTGGGTGACAAAGCCAGACTCAAAAACAAAACAAAACAAGACATACAGAACAAAACTGCATGATATATAATTGTGACATTATATGGGAATGCTTCTCTCAAAATATAGATTCAATCCAACATTATGCCAACTTTTATATTAATTTCAGTCCCTAAGTTTTCATAACCAAAAACATGAGAATAATCTTACAACTATCTACTAAGGTAACAAACTGTAAATAAATTCCCCAATATTGCTTTGAAAATAAACTCCTTGGTTGTTAAGGGAAATTCCAACTTCCAACTCCATCCAAATGTATTATTTAACTGGTGTTCATCAGTCATCATCTACTGTTGGCTTGATTGTCACTCCTCCTCTTATCTGACCCCAACCAATTAAATGCCAGTGTTTTTCAACTCTTCGGCTAAGGGCAATTTTTTCTCCTACCTCTGTGCACACTGGCTTGGTCAAAACAATTTTACCCAAATCGGCCTTGACAGCACTAACTCTCCCTCCTGTTGACAGGGACCCTATGTTCACCATGAATACTTCATTCTTAGACAGCTTTTGAGCCTTTGCTGCTTTCTTGTCTCTTTCAGTGCTTACACCTAGAAGCCGTCTAAGCAGGAAATAGGAAATAGGAAATTTCCAATTCTGTGAATATCTCAGGTAAGGCTCCAACTGCACCAAGTACCTGCCCCTCCATTCTGTCAGCCCAGCACAAAGTGGGGTCAATTTTTGTTCCAACTCCAATAAGATCGCCTGGAGCAGCATATTGCAGATCATTATGCTCCACAAAAAGGGATACAATTTTGGAAAAGATTGGTTTACACATGAGTTTTCCTTAACTATCCTTGGAAACAGTACCAGGTCTTACTTCTATCTCCCGGCCCACCTTTAATACTCCTTTTAGGATACTACCACCAGCTACACCCCCCTGAAGGTCATCAACTTCACAGCCAGGTTTGTTGACATCAACATCGGTAACAAATTTGTTGACCTAATAACAATAACGCGGGGCTCTGAAGTAAAGTCTCTTGGGGGTACTGGAATTTTCTTTATTATGTTCTCACAAACAACTTCAATATTGTATTTCAGCTGAGCCGAAATTGGAATAATGGGAGCTCCCTCTGCTACTGTACCTTGGACAAAAGCAGGGATCTGCTCGTATTGTTCTTTGGCGTTTCTTTTACCAAATCAATTCTATTTTGTAGAATCAAAATATGCTTCAGTTTCATGATTTCTATAGCAGCTAGGTGTTCAGATGTCTGAGGCTGAGGGCAAGATTCATTACCAACTATCAACAGAAGAGCTGCATCCATCCCTGCTGCACCATTCAGCATAGTAGCCATCAAAATATCATGGCCAGGACAGTCAACAAAGGAAACATGTCTGACTAATTTGAAGTTCCCTTTGGTCCCTGGAATATCTGTAGGAAACTCATCAGGTGTACTGCTCCCTCAAGATCTACAACATACTGGCCGAGGGCAACTTGGGTCATCAAGTTTATAAATCTTAGCACTGGCATATCCAAGCTTGATTGTAATATTTCTTTCTAGTTCATTTTTGAATCTGACCGTGTGAACTCCAGAAATAGCTTTGACAACTGTGGATTTCCCATAAGCTACATGACCAATTGTACGTGGCTTGTCTGCTGATAACTTCGTGTGAAAGTGGCGTCGGCCGGGCACGGTGGCTCACGCCTGTAATCCCAGCACTTTGGGAGGCCGAGGCGGGTGGATCACGAGGTCAAGAGATTGGGACCATCCTGGTCAACATGGTGAAACCCCGTCTCTACTAAAAATACAAAAAAAATTAGCTGGGCATGGTGGCGCGTGCCTGTAATCCCAGCTGCTCGGGAGGCTGAGGCAGGAGAATTGCCTGAACCCAGGAAGGCGGAGGTTGCAGTAAGCCGAGATCGCGCCATTGCACTCCAGCCTGGGTAAAAAGAGCGAAACTCCGTCTCAAAAAAAAAAAAGAAAGTGGCGTCAACTTGCTAACAACCAAGGTGGTAAGTTGCGGCTGTCCCAAAGTCACTCCAGCTTCTCCTCCCGCCATCTTGCCAAAACAGGAAGGAAATTGCCCTGGCTGCCACCTGATCGGCTGCAGGGGTCCTAGTGTGGGGCCAGGAAGCCGAGGCGGGAAGGCCGACGAGGGGCTCAGGGTGGCCAGTGCAACAGCGGCCTCACTGCTTGGACTTCTCTCTGCTTGAATCTGCATAGTGCCTGTCGGTAGGCTTATGGGAAAACATGGTGCAAAGTTGCGGGAACTATATTAATTGCAGACCTGGTAGATATTTGTGCAGGCAATACTGAGGGCAGCCATCATACCCCTCCCCAGTGCAAGGCGGGTGATGTAATCCGGCGCGCAAGCCGGCCAGGGAGAGACCATTTCCACTTCCTGTGGAGTTTCCCAAAACCTCAAAATGTTCTTAATAAATTGCTACATTACCTGCAAGGTCAAAATAGAGACATATATAGACTTTACATCATACAGTTCAAGGATTTGTTAGGCTCAACTTTCTCTGCTACCTAGTGTTCAAATACACTCTCTTTTATATATTTAAGCATCGGTAATAATATAACCTATGTGCCTGCACTCTACCCACATGAATTCATCTAATCCTCACAACAACCCCATGAGCTATATAGTTAGTATTATACTCATTTTATAAATGTGGAAACTAAAGCATTGAGACGTTATGTACTTAAAAGGGCCAGAAACAGGATTCAAAACCAGGCAGCCTGAGTCCAAATTCTGGTCTTAACCAGGGTGCTAGCCTAAACAACTCATTGGACAGATAAAATCATGTCATTTTCAGCAACGTGGATGAAACTGTTAGTCATTAACTTAAGTAAAATAAGCCAGGCACACACAAAAAAAGTATCGCATAGTCTCACACGGAAAAGCTAAAAAATTTGACCACATGGAGGTGGAAATGGAAAGACAGATAACAGATAGGGAAAGATGAGGTGAGGGGATCAAGGGGAGGTCAAAAAGAAATGGGTTAAAGGGTACAAACACAGAGTAAGATAGATGGAATAAATGCAATGTTAGATGGCAGAGTAGGGTGACTATCTTCAACAAAAATGTCTTATTCCAATGATAGTCATGCTAAATACCCTGACTTGATCACTACACCATATACATATGTAACAAAATTTCGCATGTACCTCATAAATTTGTACAAACAAAAATATATATATCTACATATATATGTATACATATATATGTAGATATATATATTTTTGTTTGTATACATATATGTATGTATACATATATATATGTATGTATACATACATACATATATATATATATATATATAAAAGATTTCAAATCAAAACCACAATGAGATACCATCTCACACCAGTTAGAATGGTGATCACTAAAAAAAGTCAGGACACAACAGATGCTGGAGAGGACATGGAGAAACAGAAACGCTTTTACACTGTTGGTAGGAGGGTAAACTAGTTCAAGTATTGTGGATGACAGTGTAGTGATTCCTCAAGGATCTAGAACTAGAGATACCATTTGATCCAGCAATCCCATTACTGGGTATATACCCAAAGGAGTAAAAATCATTCTATTATAAAGACACATGCACACGTATCTTTATTGTGGCACTGTTCACAATAGCAAAGACTTGGAACCAACCCAAATGCCCATCAATGATAGACTGCATAAAGAAAATGTGGAGGTCAGGTGCAGTGGCTCACATCTGTAATCCCAGCACTTTGGAAGGCCAAGGTGGGTATGAATCACAAGGTTAGGAGTTCAAGACCAGCCTGGCCAACATGGTGAAACCCTGTCTCTACTAAAAACACAAAAATTAGCTGAGCATGGTGGTGCATGCCTGTAATCCGAGCTACTCAGGAGGCTGAGGTAAGAGAATTGCTTGAGCTGGGACCTGATCATGCCACTGCACTTTAGCCTGGGTGATGGCGTGAGACTCGGTCTCAAAAAAAAGAAAAAGAAAAAAGATAATCTCTACAGTTCTGTCTGATTCAAACACTGAAAGATTAACACATAATTTAAAAACCAACAACTCCTCAGATGATTTAAGACACTGCTACCCACCATCAATAAGGTCAGGTTACAATCAACTTGGGGGAAGATGTAAAGTACAATAAACTTGGGGTAAATCTAAAGGTATTCAAAGACAAAAATATGCAAAATACTTCCAATTGTTAATTATGCTTTTTATTATAAAATATAGCCAAATTATAGAAAGTATGGCAAATATGTAAATATAATTTATAACCCCAGCACATTAATACTGTTAGCATTTTAGAGTATTTTCTTCCAATCTTTTCCTGATGTGTAGCTTTGCATGATAGTCATGATCAGGGAGGGAGGGAAAATGGAAGGGAGAAAAATCATTCCTTTTTTCCTACTTGAACAATTTTTAATAGGGATTTTTCATTTTGCCACAGAGTTCTACCCTTTGTGGCAAATGGTCTGCCCTACCCACTACCACCACCAATTACCTGTCCAAACTCTTGCAACTCTCTTCCCTTGCAGCTCTCCCCTCCTTCGCTGTAGTGCAGTCCTTGCCTTTTTTTTTTTTGAGACAGGGTCTCACTCTTTTGCCCAGGCTGAAGTACAGTGGTATGAACAGAGCTCACTGCAGCCTCAGCCTCCCTAGTAGCTGGGGCTATAAGTATGCACTACCACACTTGGCTAATCTTTTAAATTTTTTTGTAGAGAAGGGGTCTTGTTTCCCAACTGGTCTCAAACTCCTGGGTTTAAGTGATCCTCCCGCCTCAGCCTTTCAAAGTGCTGGGATCAAAAGAGTAAGCTACTGTGACCAGCCAGCCCTTGAAATTCTTGTTCATAGAACATATCAAGGCACATTTGCAACTGACCCTTTGTACTTGCCATTCCCTTTGCCTCAAGTGCTCTTCCTCCAGATACCTGCATGGCAATCCCTCTTGCTTATTTGAAGTCCTTACTCAAAAGTCATTTTCTCTGAGAGATATTCCTTGGCAATCCTAATCTAAAATGTCAAGACCTTGCGCTTAAATATTTCATATCCCCCTTCCCTGCTTTTTTCCTTCCTTCTAAGCACTTATCCCTTATATGTTATTTTACTTATTTTGTTTCTTCTCAAATTCCCCTATTAAAAATTTAAACTCTGTAAGGGCAAGTATTTCGTTTTTACTGATTTCCTAGCATCTAGAAAAGTTCCTAACACATGGTAAATGCCTATTAAACATTTGTTGTGGCTCACGCCTGTAATCCCAGTACTTTGGGAGGCCGAGGCGGGTGGATCACGAGGTCAACAGATCGAGACCATCCTGGTCAACATGGTGAAACCCTGTCTCTACTAAAAATACAAAAAATTAGCTGGGCATGGTGGCGCATGCCTGTAATCCCAGCTACTCAGGAGGCTGAGGCAGGAGAATTGCCTGAACCCAGGAGGCGGAGGTTGCAGTGAGCCGAGATCGCGCCATTGCACTCCAGCCTGGGTAACGAACGAAACTCCGTCTAAAAAAAAAAAGCAAAAAAACATTTGTTGGTTAGAAGGTCTCTATAATCATCATTGTAAATAACTAGATCCAGTTTTATCGAGGATTTGCCAATAATTCCCCTCTTGATGGACATATCGGTTATTGTGAATCTTTTACTATTCAGAATAATGTTCTAATGCAGGAATCACCAAGGTTTTTTCTGGAGTGAGTCAGATAGTAAATATTTTCTGCTTTGCAGGCTCTCTTTCACTAACTACTCGATTCTGCCGCTGAAGCACAAAAGCAGCCACAGACAACAACAAATGGTGTGGGGTTGCAACAGACCAAATTTAGACTGCTTCACTGAATGTTTTTGTGCATGTACCTCTATCTTTTCAATTAGTAGAATTACTAGATAAACTGGTTATGAATATATTTATGGCTCTTAATATATTGACAAATTGTTTTTCAAATGATAATCATGGAAAGTGAGGCAACTGGAACATTTACACATGGCTCCTATGAGTATAAACTGATACAGTTACTTTGGAAAACACATTAAAGCTCAGCATATATACCCTATGACTCAGCAATCTGTCAGGATATTTTGTTTCAGAAACATTGTGTTAGATATTGGGAGAAACACAAGGAGTAAATAATGTCTTGTTTATTATCTGAGTACTAGTCACATGTACTCAATTTGTAATAGTTAATCAACTACACACATTGATATGTTCATGTTTTGTAAGTCTACTGTACTTCAAAGTTTTGTAAGAAAACAAGGATACCATATTCCCATCAGCAATACATATGAGAATAACTTCCTCCCCTCTTCCTTTCTACTCACCAGAAATGGGTATTATTTCACTTTATATTTTTGCTAATTTGATAGTGTTTAAAAAAAACTTCTGAATTGCCATAGTATTTGTGTGAGATTACCAAGGAGGCTGAACATTTCTCTTCTATAAATTGCTCTTCATTTTATCTATTATTCATTAGGGTTTTTTTTGTAAATTGTGAAAACAAAACAATACAATTTCATAAAGACATAAACTCTTGATCATATTACCAGCTCTGCAAGGTGTTGGTTCCTCTATTTTTTAAATCTGAAATGGAATATTTTCTTTTGAAACCAATGGAGACTTGATTGAAAGAGTTCTCCCTCGTTATTCTCCATTGCAGTCCTGGTTGGCTGCCTTCTTGGCAGTGTTCTCATTTCTCAACTTGGATTCATTATGTTTTTTTCAACAGACAGGATCTCGTTGTTGCCCAGTCTGGAGTGCAGTGACACCATTACAGCCTTTAACTCCTGGACTCAAGTGATCTTTCCACTTCAGCCTCCCAAGTAGCTAGGAATACAGGCATGACCCATCAGGCCTAAATTTTTTTTTTTTTTTGTAAAGACAAAGGTCTTGCTTTGTTGCCCAGGCTGGTCTCAAACTTCTCACCTCAAATAATCCTCTCACCCCAGCCTCCCGAAGTATGCTCTTTCCTTTTCAATTTCATTATTTTGTTTAAAAAATAAAGTTTTTTGAGTTTTTTTTATTTTGAAGACAAGGCCTTGCACTGTCACCCAGACTGGAGTACAGTGGCACAATCATAGTTCACTGCAGCCTCAACCAACCAGGCTGAAGAGATCCTCCCACTTCATCCTCCCACCTCAGCCTACTGAGTAGCTGGGATCACAGGTGCATGCAACCATGCCAGGCTAATTTTTTTTTTTTAAGAGATGGGGTCTCCCTTTGTGGCCCCGGCTGGTCTTGAACTTCTGGGATCAAGCAATCCTCTAGCCTCGTCCTTCCAAAATACTGGGATTACAGGGAGTCACCGAACCCAGACAAGTTTAAACTTTCACATGGCCAAACCAACTGACCTTTCTATCTATGTACCGTTTTTCTCAAAAATATTATATAGAACTACATTATTTTACATTCAACAGGGATTTTGTTTATCATGTAATGTGCAAGGACATGCTTATTTCTGAGGCCAATATGTTCTTAGACGACTAAATAATCATTAAATATCTATTTGATGATTAATAGGAAAGCATCAAATAAAAATGATACTAGACTGACCATGGTACCTCATGCCCATAATCCCAGCATTTTGGGAGGCCAAGGCAGGCAGATCACTTGAGGTCAGGAGTTTGAGACAAGCCTGGACAACATGGCAAAATCCCATCTCTACTAAAAATTCAAAAATTAGCTGGGCATGGTGGCGCACACCTGTAATCCCAGCTACTCAGGAGGCTGAGGCACAAGAATCGCTTGAACCAGGAGGTGGAGGCTGCAGTGAGCTGAGATCGTACCACTGCACTCCAGGCTAGGAAACAGAATGAGAGACTGTCTCAAAAATAATAACAAATACTAGAAACTTTAATAGGAAAACCCCTAAGCTTCTGAGGCAATCACTTCATTAATGGAAAGTACAGATTTTATACCTTATCGCAGTGTATAAACATATCATCAGAAAAATGTATATAAGGAATATAGTTTGGGTTAAAACTTTTATCTACCAGAAAGTAGCCAGCCAGTTGGCCAAAAAACAATGTAAGACTATATACATATCAAGAAGATATTCATATTCCAAATATACTCATAATCAAAATATATCATAGGCAGATTAATATATACTTTTCAATTTATATATTCATATTCATTAATAATATTCAAAAGAAAATAATTCTAAGACTACACTATGATATGACCCACAACTTTTAAAGCAGAACATTCCTTAAAATGTTGCTGTGAGGTAGAA